GGTGATGATGTTCGCAAAAAGGGTACACATGTCCTGTCCCATCATTTAGTAACCGCTGCTCTCACACTTTGCATAAAAAGTAGGTGTTTGCTGAAGCCAGACAAACAAGACAAACCAGACAACCAAGTGATGGACCCACAATAGCGCACTTCCCGTCTTTGTCAGGAAACCAAAAATGAATTACGTCCATTGTGTACAAGTGCAGAGTAAAGCTAAACATAAAATAAATATGTTGGCTTAAAATTTGAGTCATTGAAGTGATGTCTGTCAATCTTTTGTGAACGTGAATATTTCGGAGGTCCAACTAACTATTTCAATGCCACCTTTTCACACAGAAAAGATCAAAATCCTTCGAGGTTTGTAATCAATGACATCACTGACATTATGCCACATGATATGAAAATTTGAGGGAAAAGAAAGAAATGACATCAACTATCTCATTATTGAAACATATATGTCAGCGTTGCGATCCTCACGATCCCACATTTTCAGACTTGACTAGTCTTTAAAAAGGTAAAGTTGGTGCACAGTATATTTGTAGATGGGATCTCCTAGATAGTATACCGGAACAACGCTCCAACCTCTCCATTCGCCGTCAACACCTCGATGGTCGCTTTAACATCAGTACGCGGTAACATCAGTATGGCTGCAGTAAAATCCTATTATTTCGAAGAATTGTCTTCAGTAATAAGACCAGCTTTTCTGGATCCTTGATTCTTTGTTAACGGAATGGCCCGAAATTCTCCTGATATGATTGAGATAGAGATCACATGTGGGATGACCTCGGACGTGGTATGCGCTGACGTCAACCATCACCCAATGACGTTCCGTCCTTGACCTTAGTCTTGTGGGAGGAATAGAGGAACAATCCAGCTGCCCACACAGCCCGTCTTTGTGACCCGGTGCCTCACCATTTACACTTCGTAGAAATGATGGGCTACATCAGCTTCTGACCTCTTAGTCCTTGGGTGGTACTCTAATATCTCATCTTGCGACTGTAACTGTTATCTCATGTGTACTCATTTTGTCACACAGCCATCAGCTTTTGTCATGCGAGTAATTCCTTCCTGCTAAAATCGTTTCATTGTCATTCATTTAGAGTTAAGGTTGATTACACGTTTTCATTGTGTGACAATATAACGTATTAAAAGGTAATTTAGCACAATATCTTTATAGTATATCTCTGAATGACATGCATACTTTATTTAGATTTAATTCGGTGTTGTAATCATTATCTTCCTATAGAAACAGGAAGATGGAAAGTACATCACATAGTTATCATCTCTGTTATCTGTGTGAAAAAATACGCGTGCAGGATTCGTTAAAGAAACATCCCCCAACCCATATAATCCCACCATAAATATGAATACTCCTTTATACATCCTATGTTTTATACATAGGTACATTTTGTACACACACATTAAGAGAATTCTCTGTAATTTTATTTATGATTTTTCAAGCACCTTTTGTAGAGCGTTAGCTCGTCACGCCGAAGACCCGGGTTCGATTCCCGACATTTCTAGTGTCCCCCGCCGTGATATTGCTGGCATATTGCTAAAAGCGACGTAAAACCATACTCACTCACTCACTCACTCAAAGTTAACAAACAAGCAAGTATAATTTTCCCTGTACTATAAGCCCAACTCATATACCATTCAGATGAGTTGTTTACCATATAAGGTTGTCCTGTAACGGTAATGTCAATCAGCACTACTAGTAATTATTTTATGACCTTGACCTGTGAAGATCCGGGTAGAATTGGTCTTCAGCAGCTCAAGCTTGGGGCGACTGACCGGATCCAGAGGTCAGACTCGCTGACTTGGTTAAAATAATAAAATGCAAACGTGTGTTTCTGCATCAAGTGAACGTTTCCAAACTAAAAAGTACTAGATAAAGCGAAAGATGTCTTATTTCTGTTTTCAGTATTACACAGCATTTTATTGGTGTAAACTATCTATATCGGACGTAATTTCAACAAAACCTACTATCGATTGAACACCTGTTTGCACCAGACACTTCGAACTATTTTTACAACTGGGTCGGTGGGGTAGCCTTGTGGTTAACGCGTTCGTTTGTCATACCAAAGACCCGGGTTCGAGTCCCCACATAAGTGCAATGTGTTAAGCCCATTTCCTGGGGAACCCGCTGTGATATTGCTGAAATATTGCTAAAAGCGGCGTTTAACCTCACTCAGTCAATCACTCATTTCCAACTATTGTTGATATCAACGGTATGACTCTAAATTTGTTTATGTCATCATTAAGAGAGGTCTGATAAATCAAGGCACAGTTTTAAGGTCATATGTAGTAGTCGATTTGTTCTTGCAATTGCAGCAGAAAATACTGTCACAGAATACCACACACAACATTTATGAAGTATCGGTCTTATATCACATCTTTTGTGGTTTGTTTTGACACAAACTACATGCATATTACACTTTAACATATCTTTTGATGATTGAATTGCAATCTGTTTGAAAAACGATCTTAGAATTCAAATCTATAGAAATAATTATACTTGGTACAATTTCGGAAAAACAAGCAAATCGTACAAACTGTTGACAGTACAGGTACAATGTCGAACAAGAATCTCTTGTTGATAAAATCGAGATATAGTATCTTTGAATTTTCTTAATCAAATTTCCTAAATTACATCGCCAATACCGATATCGGGTGAAAATGCCATCAGTAGTATTATCCATGCTTCACCTTGTCTGTTTGACAAAGGTTGCTCCACAATTAGTCAGTAGCAATCAGTCAGTTAAACGAATCGCCAGTCCAACATACTTGAGTCGGCCTTTTGATCTTCGCAGACACGCAAAGCCACCGTTAATAAAGAACTTATAAAACAAAGCCTACTTACAGGAGCGCCAACCATATCAGTCCTGTAAATGCATGTTGTCCGACACCCGCTTATAAAAAGCAAATCATATCAACTTTTCAATGACAATATTATTTCAAGGAGCAATGGTTCTCTCAACAATATCTCAATAAAACATATTTGGACTGATATTTACTTAAATTTAGGACAATATGATGATAAAAATATCATGCATGCTTTTTGCAATCGCACATCTAAAACGGAGGCATCAGTAAATATACGCGAAATATCAATTACACTCCTTGCCACTAACACCTATATCTATATCAGCTGAAAACAGTTTCACCTGTTTTCAAAAGTTTGTTCCCTCCGATATGCGTACATGTCACGGCGGGCGGGCGGGCGGGCGGGCTGCACATGCGTTGCCAATACGACTACAAAGAAGAAACGTCTAGGTAGTAGTGTAAACCTCAAACCTCAAACCATATTCCACTTACTGATAGCTATAGCTTATCAAATGACACAATGATACATTCAAAAATGGCCGTGCAACGGGTACATTTGCTCCGATGCATGCACAAAGACTCTTAGTTCACACGGGTAAAAGAACAATACTCTCTTGTCGATTCTGTGGGCTCTCAGTGTTTAAGACCTCCGCACCAGCAAATGTTGCTAGAGTCCTGAAGGAGATAGAACACGCTTTGGCTTTTCTTGTGACCATGGCTGGCCTATGTTCGTGCTATGGTAAAGAATATTTGCTCATGGCTTTCCGAATAAACGTGGTTTCCCTTGGAAGTGAATTAACGAGACATGTATTTAAGGTCAAGGTAAATAGAGAATGTACATCTTCAGATCGGATGATAAAAAGAGGCATGCTATTATGTACTGGCGAAGGCGTGTTCAGTCCCAAAGGATGTCATCATACCAAAAGTGCATATGGCGTTTTGAATACGTAAGCTGGATCCACGTACTGTACTTGTCCAAAACGGAAGTGCATTATCGGACGATGTTTCCATTTCAAAGGTCATTCCACATAGTTGATGTGATTTGATGAAATTATCTCCTTTACATGGGAGGGGCTTAAGGTTGAATATGAGTTGTGGTTTACCAATAAAAAATGCTTCCAGTTGGGGCATGGTATGCTTGCATTTTCCTAGACACATGGAATCTTCAGAAGTTGTGAAATTTATGATATAATCGGAATCGTACAACGGACTTTCCTTTCAGCAGATTTCTCTTATTGTTATGGAAATGGTTTTGTCGCTTGTATTTTATTGACTTCCACATGCAGTGACCAGAAGTCAATAATTGATGGATTTGCTTCATTACCTGTGTGACGTGTTTGAGTGTCCGGCTTTAGTGTATGAAGTTTGCCTGTAGTGTTCTGAATAACTTGAACTGGTCCTGGTTTTTGGCGAAACTACTGTGAGAGCATATCTATATTTATAAGTGTAATCCTCATTGTTATATTGAGAACATCTCATAGATTTCCCCTGAAACATGGAGATTTCGTATTTTTCGTGTTTCTCAAATGCCTTATTGAAATAAATCAGAATGCAGAAGATACAAATCTATACATTTTTACAGTTTAGTGTACATATATGCTCCCAAGGTATGAACATTTGTGTGTTTGATTCCTATCTCTTCACCTGGGACAGACAGATAATTATCGTGTAGACTAAGAAGAAGCTGATATAGATTCATATTGTGACATTTACCTAGTTGTTAAAAATGACAACATAGGACTGTAGACTTGCAGTTGAATCATATTTTCCCTTTAGGCAGGGGATCTTGGCTTACCGAATAACAATGCACTTTTAATAGTCAAATATGTTTAATCTGTATCCCTTGTTTTTTAAATGAGCAATTCCTCTAACACAAAATATCTACCAGGGATATTGTCCAGTCGGTAACGAATATAGTCCCATCTTTGTGACGCGAATATTCAACAGAACACACATGGTTATTCACCACACACTCCATTGTCTCTCTGCGATTAAAAACAGAATATTCCACAAACAGGTGGTTGGTATGATCCTGATTATCAGTGCCACAATTAATTGTATGTGGGCGAGCATGGTGTGTGTTCCCCTTTTGCGTGAGAGTGTCCGCCTGCAATCGTAGGCAGTGGAGTACTGGGTGCGGACTGATTAGATAGGAGATGTTCTTTATAAGCCAAGCACCAATACTTGACGCCAGTTCCAGGCATAGAGCCAAGCCAGCTGCACAAGACACGATAACAGCAGGTAAGCAGATAACAGCATGGACAAGTAGAGAAATAGGACCAAGTCCTTCAACAACTTGGTATTGTTGGCACATTGGTACAAGTTGAATATACGTGCTAGCATAAAGACCATTTCATATAGTTGCCTCTGCAAACATAGGATTTTTGTTGACGATATGTATGTATTTAAACTTGGTTGTGATTATATTACACTATTTAGAAAATATCATATTTCGCTTTGATAAAAGTTTTCATTTTGTACATAATGTTTTATCTCACCTTACATTACATGTATGTCATGGGGTCTGGGTTCACTCCTAAAACCCAAACAACCCCGTTCTCATTTGTTTAGTTAAACTTAAATTTGTATCATACAGTGAGTCATGACACGTTACGGTGGATTTTCTATACATGTTACAGAGAACCGGTCAGTGCGTGGAACTCCGACATGTGGAAGCTACTTCCTCTCATATCAATCAGCATTGCTAATGCTAAAAAGTAGGTTCTTTCATAATAACTCAATTCAGATTTATTTCCTAATTCGTGTCAGTGTAATCGCAGACTTATTTCTTGACGTGGCAAGAAAGCTACCAAGAATCATAAGATGTAAGACAGTGACGTTGTAGCAGGAAGAACCCTCCCATTAATTTATCACGAGTTCAATATATGAATGGAAGACGTTTCTTCATTGTCAGAAATCATTACATACCTTCCTGCCGTTATATGTCCTTACAAGATACACCTTTTGTTAACCTTTCACCTGCATTTGTAACAATATTTGAACTCTGAAGTTTCTAAGAGAACAGTGTTCTCTAAGAAATGTATAAACATTTTGTTATGTTTTTATGTTGTTTTTTTACTTTACACTCCATGTTTATGTTTGATGTCTTATTAACAAAAGTGGAACACATTGATTATATCCAAAATGGAAATATAACAAACTTTGAAATGATGTTACAAAAGTTTTCATATAAAGTATCCTAAAAAATCCATAAAAACATATACCTATAGACAATTTTTTCATTTCTCCCTTAATCCTAGAGAAAATGTAGAATCAAAACAATCAATAAACAGTACACATGATAGAGCTACGTTATATAGTTTTGATCAACGCACTATGCACACAGTATTATTTATTCTAATAAGAGCAAATGTAAACAGGACATAATCAATCTGTGAAGTAAGTATGTTTCAAGTAAATGAAGAAAATACTTCACAAAAGTGAAACATTTGTGGCTGATAATGTTGCTCTGTTTTTGCGATAGTGATCGATAAACATCTGGGCTGTTGTATGTGAGTCGCAATCAATGCGATCTGGCTGACTGAAGCCATACATCGATGTTCGTAATATCAGCCACTGATTTTGCTTGGTGTGATCTAATCAAACAAACAACTCACATGCATTCGTATTAAACTAAATAACACTGTAACATAATGTCATCGTTAATGTTATGTTTCATTTTCTTTTATGCATCTTGCAGCACCTTTCTTATCCTTGCCCCTAAGACCATCAGCCCCTCTACAACCCTGCGTCTGGGGGTTAACTCCCTAAACGCCAGTCAGGACCTGACTGTGACAGCACGTATACAGGCAAAGGAGTGGAACAATTACCCCTACGAGCACTATGAACGTATCTACGTCGACCATGCCAACAGCACAAACACAATTCTCGGAGGTAGGCCACATAATGAGTCAGAATAATGTTGAACTTTTATACATACTTATGAAGTATTACACTAATCATACAAAACATTTCTAATGAAACAAAACATTTCACCCAAATGAAATCTAACGTTATCATTATAAATCATGCAATATGTTATCTGTCATATCTTTATGGAAAGTAGATTTTGATTTTCTCAACATTTTGATAACATTGATTCTTCTTCGTAACATTTAGCTATGCAAAGTGTATATCAAAAAGTGGGATAATTTCCAAGCAGAGGTGGTGTGTTCTCGAGTCTAATGGAGAACAGAAGCACCTCACACAAATTAATGTATAGCTTTAATTGCATGTAAAATGGTCTGAAGCAAGTTCTCGTCACAAAATTACATTGACAGGTTAAAAGAGATGGCACATATGCTATTAGAATAAAAGGGTTATACATTATACAAATTCTTCAAAACTATAGCTTATCAGTCCCAAAGTGTTTACAGGAACTAGTATGAGGTATTTTCTCGCTGATATGCCCTATGGTTATGCAGTTATAAAAGTTATTTGAGATCTATATCACATCTATATCAGTGTATGTTAAAACAGAATTGAATTGAGTCTGTGGTCACTGTAATTAAGTATTTACTTTTACTTTGTCACATTTTCAGGTGCCGCAGGTATCGTGAAAGTCAAGGTAAGTTACATAAATGTAATAGACAATGACCTATACGAGTGTGTATGGACGACAACGTCTTCACTGCATCAAATATCAAGATAGACTATACGTTCACATTGAAATAGTGGAAAAAATACACTTGTATGAAACCACTTGTAGTTGGAACATATTTGTCCAAAGTTTTTTTTAACATATTAGGAAACGGCTAGAGGTAATTCTTTTATTGTAATATGAATCTCAAAGGATTTACTTGATTTTAAGCAACCCCAGAAAAATACTAAGTTCAATTATGTCAAAACATTTGATTTTTCAAATTCGTATACCGCTCTTCCACACGACAAAAAAGAAAAAGCTTATTTCCCTGAGCCATGGCACATTAGTAACTGAACGTGGTGATAATAGATATAGTTACATCTCTATCGTAAAAAAAAATATCATCCATGGTTTACTGGGAAAACAATATGTGAAATGCTTGACTTCCAAATAAGAAGTAGGCATCCCCATGGATACCAATTGTGCTCTCCTTCCTGCTTATATGTTTCTTTCTGCATATGATCAGAAAGTTTTGCTGGGGTTGGCAAAGTAAAAACAAGCGAAATTGTCCAAGAAGTTTATTTTAGGCTTCCGGTATATCGATGAGCTGATATCGTTTAATAAGGATCAAATACAAGTAACCTACCCCCTTCCACTGATTTACCACCTTTTTCTTAAATAAAAGAGACCAGTGAAACCGTCCGGTCTGTTTCATATTTAGATTGATGCATACAGATTCAGAATTGAAAAAACCAAATTTCAACCAGACTGTATCACAAGATAATGACTTCAACTTTCCCTTTATGTAGAGCAATATCCCAACTACTCCATTTCATCTACATGCATGTTCGAGGTACAATCGAGCAAACGTTTTTCAAAGAGCGCCATACGAGTCTTGCTACAAAAGATGTTGGATCACTGACAGATTTACAACATGCAAGGCCTTAAGCTTATTATATTATTTTTTTATGGTAGACATATTTCCAAATTTGACGAATCAGTGACTAACATTACCGTTTTCAAGTATTTGACTTGTCTTTTGCGACGGGTGCTATCGATGGGGCAGGATGCACTCACTTTGGCCGAACATTTGGTGTCATTACTATTGATGGTGATTCATAAACACATGCTTATGATGTAGTGGGAATCGTACACTGGACTGAATTCTTATGGTTATGTAATAGCATGATTGCAGCTCTCAATCACTGAATGTAAACAATACTTATTAAATTCACACTGAGTTTGGTCATTTTTTAATTTCTTTTTACGATAAAGATTCCCAAATAAAATTAGGAAGTAACTTTGCCCTGTGTGAAATCTCTAAAGATTAAGCCCAATACATTTGTTACAAAGAACAACATGTATGTTTTATATTTCTCACTTTCTCTCATCAGGTATATATCCTATGTTTTACTTATGTTAAGAATTTTATAATTAAATTGGTTAATCCGTGCCACGTAACGAAACAATACATTTCAACATATACCCCCAAATCACATGGCTGACTGACACTCATCTTGAATATTGACTCTTCACTTAATCTGTTTTGACCCGTCACGTGATTAATACAACCTCTCGTTTTCTAGGAAACATGATGGTATATGGTAGGAACTTGTCACGGTTCGCAGGTTACTGTAATGAAACAGAGGACAGTTTATAGCTTTTAAAAAAGTAACTCAAAGGGGTAAAGTGAAAGCTGATGTTACACAACGAATGATTACTCTTGGTGGCATTAGTTATTATAGAGGCATACATATCAATAACGTCCTCCGAGAAGAACATAATATAACTGTCTTGTTTTACCCCTACAAAGACTTATGACACATGTTTTGACAATTTTAAAATACCAATTTTCCCATTACTGTTGACAATATACCGTTGGTATCAGTACTTGTTGTATGATTGTTCGTTTATAATTATTAAGGTTTTAGAGGGTTATTATAGAGCAACTTCTTCATATACATGAACAACCATCATGCTTGATAAGACAGAACTGAATAGAACGGTCCAAACCGTAGCTGGTAGAAACGCAAAACTGTATTTTGACGGGTCTGTGACAAACATGACGTCTTTATCACATACTAAACCCTTGGAATTTTCATGGTCGTGGCGACTTTCTAAACAAATAACCTTTTCACAGTTTTCTCAAAAGATATTTTCTTTGGAAGTTTCATCCGTGACACAAGCAACTTATATTGAACATCTACTCTTGTTGGTATTTGTAGAGATGTTGCCTGTATGTGTATCTTCAGTGTGCCAATGGCATTTACGGCATCTCCTTGTTGTTCAGAACAAAATTCTATCAAGTACACTGTAGTATCGTAATAGTTCACAACCCAAGAACATATAATTATACATTCTATAGATTCAACACTAACTTGATGCATTTTACCACAGATTCCCCAGGATCTGAAGTATGCCAACTACATCCTAAAGGTCCAGGTAGAGACGAGCTCTGGAGAGGAACACAGCAACATGTACAACCTGCAGTACTACGGCAAGTACCTGTCAACCTTCATCCAGACAGACAAGGCCATTTACAAACCTGGATCTATGGGTAAGTAGGTTACACTATATCTGCCTGTTTTAACCTTGTGGTCACAGCAAAAGCTGTTCGTTTATCAAGCCAGTGTGTGCTGAGGAGTAATCTTTATGCTCAATGCTTAAACATATATATTGATAGTATAAAAATTAGGACTGTTTGATGCCATGGTTGAGTTATTCCTACAAAAAAATATAATTGCACACATGTTTCAGTGTGTGAAACGACCTTTGATCATGATATTGTAAGTAATTAAAAGAACAATTAATGTTTGTAAATATCTTTTTATGACTATTATCCGGCTTGGGTCCCATAAACGACCTGCTGCCCTCAACCCTATCCCCTGTCGGGGATTAATCCCATGAGAAGACAACTGAGGCAATGTTTTTACCAATAAGGCAGTCAATGTTGTTACTAATAAGGCAGTCAATGTCGTTACCAATAAGGCACAAGTTGACATATGTAATTAAACAGATGTGCAGTCTGAAAAAGCCCCGCAATGCGATTCATAAATCCGATATGGAAGCAGGCAGACTGGGCGCCGGTCTGATCGTTGAAATTGATCAGCGCATTAAACACGTGAATATGTAAAGTTGCTGTGCTGACTGTTACCGCAAACAGAGGGCGAGCTTGTTGTGCAATCAAGCATGCACTCGTGGAGAACATCTCCATCAGTATCCATATAGGAAGCCTATATTACATAGTCTCCGCGTCCGCTGCATTTTCGTTTTTCGTCTTTGATTATTTGAGAGCTAGACTTAAGTGAATATTTCGTGCCGCTTTTGATGATTTGAAAAAGATATGTTTGATTGACGATATTACGATCTGTCTAATTCTGCAACGTTGTACCTACCCATGAGACTTGCACTTTAAGCCTATCCATTTCTATTTTGCAGTCAACTTCCGTACATTTGCTGTGTACCCTGACCTTCTCACCTATACTGGAAATATGACAATCGAGATATTTGTGAGTGTTCATCCTGCCCCATCGTACAGTCGTAGATTTTCATGTGTATTAACCATCTTTTGATAATAATGATCTAAGAGTGCACGCGTGTGCGTGCATTTCCCTTGCAAAAGGTCCAGGTGAGGACAGTGTTTCTTTCTGGGGCGTGACTTATAAGCCACATAATTTTACTGATCATAAATCATGTATTAATTCAGCTATTGTTTTTATTCAAATTTAGAGTTTGGGCATATTATGTTATGTCACATACATATCAACCTCTTCTCAATAAAATGTCCCAATTCACACACACACACACACACACACACACACACACACACACACACACACACACACACACACACACACACACACACACACACACACACACACACACACACACCTTAAAGGTGCGAGTTAGAATTGATCAACAGCACCCAAAGCTTGTCATAAGAGGCGGCCAACGGGATCGGATGGTCTGATCCAGATTCGAGTATTTACAGACGTCCGTCATATTGCTGAAATATAGCTGAGTGCGGCGTTACACACCAAACAAACCAATTTACATGCCTGGAAGGTATGGAAACGAAAGTAGGAAATCATATACGAAGTACATGTTATAAAAAATAGTTGATTTTGCAATGGCCCGTTGTCATGTCACTTGCACATAACCGTTAGGACAGCACGCAATTTATTACATTGCATATTAATGTGGTTGACTGTTGGCTTTGATAGTTTTCTTATAGAGAATTTTGTACCCAAAGATTAACAGTAAACAACAGTACAATATGATTTTAATTGGTTTTTCTCATTGTTCATATGCTGATTAGCATCTGTACTTTGGTGGTGTTACTAATTTCTTGAATTCTAATTCCAAACTCCAATAATATGGAAATATACTTGAGTACAAGAATACTGTAATAATATTTATGACATGATAACACGTATACATGCTATCCCTGCAGGATCCCGTCAACAACAAACTGATGCTGAAAACGAATGTCACGGATCCTACTGGCGTTATCACTATGTCCTTTAAACTCAGTGTCATGCCCATCCTCGGAGATTGGAAGATCAGGGTTACAGTACCCAACGTAATCATAGCAAGAAGCTTAAATGTTCTTCATGTTTAGAAAATTTGTTTCGGCAGATATTTGATATATATAACATCTGATAAATATGTTTATCATATAATGGGTAGGTTTCTCGGCAGGATAAAGCCAACGGATAAAAACGATATCCGTTGGGGTCATATGCGGATAGAGATGCAAATATCAAAGGTCAAGTAGGGACTACTTTCACTGTTTACATAAACAAACATGGCGTCGCCCTCGTCATTCGGCGATCGAGTCAGAATTAACCATCTGTAATCTGGATAAACTACAGGGATAATTGCTATCATTATCAAAAGAACAGTCTAATATACTGAAAATCAGTGTCTAACTGTGACGTAGATAAGGCATTTTATAAGTTTTGGCAACTTTGGAGATATATAAATTTCGAAACAATTTTGCGAGGGCACGAGGCCTAGCCAAGCGGGATCAGTAGCCATATCTGTGCTTGTAGACCTCTGCGGCTTGAAACCTTCTCCACAAATTAAAATAGTTGGATTTAGCCGAAATATATTTGAATTGTTGCCTTGTTTCGTTTTGTCGCTGTGTGTACATCTGACTACAATTCTTAACGTTATGACAGGACAGACCGACTGTCAACAACGTCTGACCGTGGCCGTGACGTCTCATAGACTAGGGTTAGAGTAGCTTCCCTTTGACAAAGGGCAGTTACTCTAGCGGAAAGACCGATGGAAAGGCAATTAAAAACAATTGTTGTTTTGCGTTTATGTTGCTTCGCCACTGTATAAGAAATAGATTTCAGTTGGAACTATATTGGCTACTGTCACTGTCTGAATGACACATCACTCACCCTCTGACGTAATAAATATTAATGCGCGCATTCCAGGAAAACTCGCAATGTTTCGGTAATGTTTGTGAGAGAGGGAAAGCGATTTTGAAGTACAGAATTAAAGAATGACATTATATGATAAAGAGGTTATCACGCTTATGTGTTTGGGGATGGTAAATATCCTGTATTAGGAATAAACACTATGTATTTAGCTCGCCAAGGCTCGCTAAATACAATGTTTATTCCTAATGCAGGAAATTTACCATCCCCAAACACACTCGCGTGATAACCTCTATACACACGTAGTTTCGTGCAATTGTTGCTGTGTCGTGATATGTTAGTTGCGTTTAACATGTTCTTCTGGAAAATACTTGTATGCATGTCATATGTCATTTGTGACTATGCTGAGTGGAAACTTATTATATACTTGTGTTAATATGTACTAAAACTTACGAAAACATAAATTGTCTCTGATATGCATATCCATCTAGCAAATGTAATCAATATTATGTTGATACTGCATTCATAAATGTAATCTATGTATCTAAGGCAGTGACGTTTTATGATATCGCCTTATCACCTAGTCCAATGTTATGCCTGCCCATAAAAACGTGAAAACTTACTGTTAAACGAATCTCACCCTAACAGAGCCAAATGGAAGAAAAGAAATTCCAGGTATCCAACTATTGTGAGTATACTTTGGATTAAAACCTAACATACATTGTAAAAGTGAAGTACTTTTGTTTTGTATCTTAAAAGTTGGGTAATTAGACGGGTTGGAACAGATGTTTCAGTGCAAGTAATGGTTCCCATCAACATCGTTATATATATATAGTAAGATAGAAAGGTTTAATCGTTTTGTTCACAGATGAATCATATTAACATTACATTGTTTCTTCACTAGTCCTTCCACGCTTTGAGGTAACAGTGGATGTTCCAAGTTTTGCTCTGGTAACAGATCGAGACATTAAGGGCAAAGTTTCTGCAAAGTATGTGAATTTATAAAAAAAAATTCTTTCAAAATGAAAGCAACACAAAACATTTCCATCATCATAAAAAAAATGTACTAAAAGCAGAGTCCATGGTACGATTCCGATTACACCATAAGCATATGTATATGAATCACTACTAAATAGTGATGACACCAGGTGTTCGCGAAAAGGTGAACGTATCCTGCCCCACCGGTGTCACAAATACAAACAAATACATGCTTAACTGCTACCACATTTTTAATAAGCTGAAAATGACAAAATCAAATGATTTATCAACCTTAGAACATGCATGTCTTTTATTTTGCTTCCTGCAGGTATACCTTCGGCGAGGGAGTGTCAGGCGTCGCCGAAATTCACGCTAAGATGGCCGGAGGTTATTCTGGATCCTGTGCCTCTGAGCAACCGAAGATCATCATGACTTTCCCAGTATGTAGATTGATGCCGGTCTTTTCCCAACAAATACAATTGATTTCTCTTAAGTAAAAAAAATCATTTGCATTCAAATGTTTTGAAAGGTAGACGGCTTTGTCAAAGGCATTACTGAAGACAAAGAAATTATAATATCTTTACACTTAATTTAGAATATGGAACCCACAGTTTAAGGAAGAATGCATCTTGTTTGTAAAAATATTTTAAAAAACTACATCGTCTGGTACAAACGTTCTGTCTGTGACATACTTTCGTCAATAAATATACAAAGCCATATTCAGTTATTGTTGGTGTGTGATTATTTACCCAGATTGACGGAGAAAGTAAGTTCACGATCCCAATGGTGGAAGTTGAGCACCTCAACTCTTACCTCAATGGTCAGACACTGGAGATACAGGCCACTGTCACAGAGACGTTGACCAGCAAGAAACTAAGTGGTTCCTCGACTGTGACCTTCTATACCAACGCGGTGAAGCTAACCTACCTGGACTACAGTGATCACAACTTTAAGCCTGGTCTCGAATACACTGGCACGGTAAGGACACGTCAATTCTTCAGGAAACACCTCCTGTCTAACATCTCAAAGTATAACCTGAGAGTATTGCTTTGCCTTACACAAATCACATGTTATAATAAAAAGCGACGAAAACATTTCCATAAACATAACAAATCGCTACTTAAAAGCAGAACCCATTGCACGATTACGACTATGCGTTAAGCATGAGGTTTTTAATCACTCTTAAATGGTGATGATGCCAGGTTTTCGCGAAATAATTCGCGCATCCTGTCCCACTGGTGACACTCGTCACAAACACATGCAAAGTCAAGTCGATTGTGCAAGTCAAAATTGTGCCATGAAACTTTTGAAGCTTCACTGAGGCCTTAAATGTTGTAACCCTGAACAAATAACTTTTGAGCAAGGTCTGATGACGCTCTTTGCAATCTTTGAAGAAAGATAATGTTCGTTTGTACTTCAAGAGTTTTGAAACGTAGATACCAAAGGCTAGGCTAGAGACGCTGGGACATCGGTTGAAAGTTGGGAAAGTTGACCTTTGGAAATCTATGTGAATAGATCTAAATAAGAAACGAATAGGTGGTTTCACTAGTCTCTTATTTCATGTTCAGGTGGATAAATCTGAGGAAGGGGATTTGCTATTCGACCATTATTGAGCTATATCAGTTCATCAGTATACCTGAAGCTTAAGTTAAACGTCTTAGCCAAATTCGCCTTTGCATAACCTCAAATGAAACTTGTAACCTGTTTCAGTCAGGAAATCTGAAATACAGATTTTTTTATGTCTGGTGTAAAGGACAGAAATTGACACTCTTCATTTAATTTATATAATTGGTTAGAGGACTGGTTACTTTCAGGTGAAAGTCTCCCTACAAAACGATCTGCCACTCCCAACCCCACGGAAGAATGTGACCATCTTCCCGTGTGTAACCTACCGTGTTAAAGTCCCGAACCAGAGCCGCTACCACAGTTGCGACTCCAACTTCCAGGGGACTTATGGTCTTGATGAACAGACATTTCCAGTTCCAGCAGATGGTCTTGTGGACGTCACACTTACAATTCCAGAGGATGCTGTGTCGGTGACGATAACGGTGAAGGACACAATACATAATATTGTACATTATTTGTAGTGGTTCCGAAACTCGAATTCGTATATTGATCTTTCTTTCAATTTCATTAAAAGTCACAGAATAATACAGTAATTGCTTTTGTACACGTGCTATCAATCAAGCACGAGTTTAGTTCATTTGATATCATCAAGTATATTATGCAAGATTGCTAAGGATATAAACGTTGGTCAGTCTGTTCAAATCATTTGACTTCAATGCATACTTTGACAAGTGGCATATGTGGGGGTTTTCCAGTTAAGAGGTGAAAACCATACCTTTAAATCTTCAAACATATTTTTTATTACTTGCATTATGAATCCGCAGGACGAAATTATGCAAAACAGTCTTTTTGTCTTATTTCTTCTTTATATTCATTTTTGATATCCCTTTAAAATGTTTATGAACTGGTATTGTATTCTTACTTTGACTACAGATTCTACCGTTTCGGAAAATAAATAAATAAACTGATTTATTATACAGGCATTGGATAATGTTTTTTCTCTATTTTGCCATTTTCATTTATGTTAGAGAAATTCAGGATGGTCAAATGGTTGGGTTCAACTATTGCGCTGGTATTAATATTATTGTTTGAAATATTTTATCATGAAACTTGCAGATATATTTTTGTTCTGAGACGTCTATTGACATTATCATTAAAGTAAAAGTAACATATACTCAACGGATTGTGATACGGTTTGTTTCTGGAAATTTGGTCAACAGTGTTAACTTTTTAGAATATTCACATATTAATAAATGAAAGCAGCAAGACTCATTATATAACCATAAGACATTTCTGATGAAAGAAGCATCCAATGTACAATAAGTGGTACATAATTGTATATTTTCTTGTGGCTACGGAAATGGTTTTGTGGGTTTTTATTTATATGTGATCTTACTTTTACAAAGTCAATAGACGGAAATGCCAAATAAGGCACATTCAGGTCAACCAGCGAAGATTTAAAGGTTCCAAATATTGTTATACTACTTTTGCAACACTAACTCACATACGGCACCGTATTGATGAGAACAGCATAAACGATGTGAGTTGGATTTGTCAATTACATAATAGATTAGTCCTTTGTCCCACAGTATCCGTCCTAAATCCGGAGTGAAAGAAGTTCGGATTGGACAGATTTGACTTTATGCGATAAATAAGGGGTTCTGAATTCGGTCCGGTATTGAGAGAAATAAGAATACGTCGGAATCAAAGTTTGGCAGATTAAACTGGGTTCTTTCCTTTTTTTATTGAAATAAGTAGTACCCCATGAAATGCATTCCAGTAATTGTTGGTCAATCGTCTCTTTCCTGTTCATCCACAGGCTTTTTATGAGGAGACATCAACGTCATGGACAATAAAGAAAGCCTACTCCCCCTCTGATTCCTTCCTACAGCTCTACCTCCACAACACAAAACTCACGGTTAAATAAAGCTGTTTTGTTATAATATTTTACTTAAAAACTGTTAGTTGGTAAAAGAAACTTCAAAAATGATCAGTAAATAACGATAACAATAATGGCCATTCATCAAATTGTAAAGTCAAGAATGACTGTGATTTTCTTTGCCTTCAGTCTGGAGAAAATGCCAACATCCTCATCAAGTCCACACAACCGCTCGATACAGTCTGGTACGAGGTAAATAGATCTTAAACTTTAAAGTCAAATATAATTATACAATAAAAGGGATTAATGTCATTTGAAGCCATATGAAGCAAAAAGGTTTCTTGAAAGGTACCAATGCAGAGATTCGAACCCGGTCATTTCACATTATATCATGAAGTATAATCATCTATCATCTTTGCTTGTAAATACATTTTTTTTAATGTCTTTTACTTACATTTACGTATCCAATAAGACACTTGAATACAACACAATTATTTGTTATTTACATCATACATATACATATACATACATCATATCTCAAGAAATGTTAACCCAAACCAAGATACTTTTTGGATAATGTTCTACATGAATTAAGTCATGTTGTGGAGGGTGAGATTGGTGTGATAGTGTACACATTCACGTACTTGTGCCCAACTTCTCATGAAGGTTATCTCCCGTGGATCCTTTGTTACTGCCGGGTATCTAGATGGTGGTATGGAGAAGAGCTTCAACTTCACTCTACCTGTCACACCCAAGATGGCGCCTCATGCTCGCGTTCTTGTCTACTACATTCTTGATGATGGTGAGGTCATTGCAGACAGTACAAATTTCGATGTGCAGGGACTCTTCACCAACAAGGTATTGCTACTTTAACCGTACACCGATCGGAAATATTATTCATACGCCCCCCAAATCGGTCAATAAATATATGCAATTGGATAACCACACATTTATTAAGGATTGACTTTCACTTTGTGTGAGTTCATTAGAGTATGAACCTTCATAGAGTTAGGGCCAAACGGTATGAACGTCGGAGCTTGAAAGTCAATTCTTATATTGTTTTATCACAATTTCTTACCTCAGGGATGCAGGCCTAGATCTATACACAATTATACGTGTGTACGTGTGACTTCATGTATACACGTACAGCCATACAACAGCCAACAGTATCGCGGAATAAACTAGTACTAGTTCCTCAAAGAGAGAGGTGACATAAGCGTATGTATGCAGAACTTGCTCAACATCTCACACAACACATGTCTTCAAATAATATCACCATTAAATGAGAAAGGTCGGTTAAGAACTACCCTAGTAAGACAGTCACAATGACAGCGCGTCGTAAGACATTTACATCAAGTACAAGACTTCAAAATGGCCGACACGATGAACGTGACGGGAGAGATTTCGGAAGTTGTAAATGGACCTGTGGCGGTGACATGTTTTAGTCATTATTGATCAGTTGGCGGACCATTGAAAGGTAATGAAAGGTCTGTCAAATAATCCATGACTATGGGGAGGGGAGTACATTCATCTTATGTGTTGATTTCAATGCTAGAACAGGAAGTGAAGAGGATTTTATCATGAATGATGAGACTGACTATTTACCCATTAATAAAGACTATAAATCTGATAATTTCTCTTTACCCCGTGCGTCATGTGATACACAAATCACTAATTTTGGTAGATCATTGCTAGACCTATGTAAAATATTAGGTATCCATATTGTAAATGGAAAATCTACATCTGATAGAAATGGAGATTTTACTTTTGTTTCCCATACTGGGTGTAGTACTGTTGACTACTTTATTGTATCATCTGAGGTTTTCTCTAGGGTTATTGATTTGGTGGTTCTTAACAGAACCGAGTCTGACCACTTGCCGGTTCTATGTAGTATTGAACATGTCTTCACGTCAGAGTTACAGAGTAAGCGAGCTACAGAAAACACTGTTGGTATTACCCTCACTCCTGTTCCTAAATATAGGCTTCCTATAGACAGAATACCAGCATATCAAGAATATGTTTTTAGCAGAGAAAGTAGTCGAATGTTTTACGATTATATTTCTGTTTTGAAAACTGACAAAAATGCTGCAGTTATGAAATTAGCTGATATACTGATCTACTGTGGGGAAAAGGCGGGGGCAGTCTGTAGATGATCTAGAAATAAAACCTCTGAAGAGCAACCGTTATGGTTTGATGCAGAGTGCTGTCAACTTAAATCTAAGAAATACATGCTACTAAATCGTTTCAGATCATTCAAGAGTGACTCAAACTTAAAAGACTATTTATGTGCAAAAACTGAATTCAGAAAAAAGTGTAAAACTAAACAAAATGAGTATAAAATACATATGAGTAAAAAATTAACCGAGGCTGCAAATATGAGTGATTGTAAAGAGTTCTGGAATACTTTGATTTAAAAACAATTTTCCTTTGAGTTTGAGTCTAATCTCAGATATGTAAATATGTTGCATTTTTTTCTACAAAATTCATTATTTAACTTTATAAAAGTACTATTTTTGCAGAATTCTAAATTATTTTGCATTAAAAATGTATATGTGCACCTATAAATGCATTTCTGATTTTGAAAAAGCTGACTTGTTATTGTTTTGACAGAGTAATGAGTGCATTGAGAAATGTTCCCACTTGGGCGGCCATCTTGGACGCCATTTTGGATTTCGGGGTGACCGCAGTAAATTTTTACGAGCACACCAAGAAATAATGTTAGGTAATGGTTTAAGCAGGCTAAAAAACATGGTGAACTTAGTTTGTAAGATGGGTACAATGGCACCCAAAAACTAAGCATGCTATGGGAATCAGACTTTCGATTAAAAGCACTATTTGAGAAGTAACGCACGACAAGGTGATATAACCCCTGACACTTGGTTAAGATATTTTAAAAATTTATTAAATCCAGATTTTAATGGAGATGTAAATGAATTTGATAAATCAGTTCAGGCTTTTTTAGATTCCCATTCATGTCAACATTGTAATTATATGCCTTTTACTGACCAGCTCTTATCAGGTGAAATTACTGAAAATGAAATTAAACAAGCTTTAAATAAGTTAAAAGTGGGTAAAGCAGCCGGTGAGGATGGTATACCCCCTGAATATATGAAAAGTATAACAAATTTCATAAACCCGTATCTTAGGCAGCTTTTTAATAAAATTCTAGATACTTGTGTTTTTCCAGATTCCTGGAATAAAGGAATGATTATTTCTCTACATAAATCTGGAAACATATCTGATCCAGGCAACTACCGAGGTATTTCTTTCTTAAATGTGACTGGCAAATTGTTTTCTGTTGTAATTGAAAAACGTATTAGAACATGGTTAGATGTGAATGACCTGTTATCAGAATCCCAAGCTGGATTTAGACCCAACTATTCTCCATCAGACAATATATTTATTCTTCAATCTTTGTGTACAAAATATCTTATTAAACCCAAGGGCCGTTTTTATTGTGCCTTTATCGATTTAAAAAAGGCTTTTGACTATGTGGATAGAAAGAAAATGATGTTTTTATTAATTACTAAAGGATTAACAGGCAAATTGTCAAACGTTCTACAGAGCATGTACTCATCAGTTAAGGCATGTTTCAAGACAGATAAAGGAATCACTGAATGTTTCAGAACTTCAGCTGGTGTAAGACAGGGCTGAGTACACATATTTATATTTTTCATAAATGAACTTGTAACTGAAATGTATCATGAATGTGATTACGGAGTTTTTGTGTCACAAGATATAATTGATATAATGCTGTTACTATTTGCTGATGAAAACAGTTAAATGATCTCCAGCTATTTTGTGAGAAATGGGGCCTTGAAGTAAATTTGAAAAAGACAAATGTTATTGTTTTCAGGAAAAGGTGGTATTCTAACTGAATTTGAAAAATGGACGCATTATAATAAGACAGTCAATATTGTTTCATATTATAAATATTTAGGGTTGACTGTATCTTCTCGATTAGCATGGTCAACAGCTTGTAAGCAGTTGGCTCTGCAAGCATCTAAAGCCTTAATTCCTGTCTATAGAGTTTTTAAAGAAAACAAATTTATATCTTTCCGCGTTGTTTCGGACATTTTAGACAGAAAAATAGCACCAATTCTGCTGTATGGTTCAGAAATATGGGGATGTCATTATAATGATTCCATAGAAAAAATTCATGTCATGTACTTTAAACGTTTTTTAGGTGTCGGTAAATATGCCTCTAACAAAGCCATTCTAGGAGAAACTGGTCGTACCAGTCTTTTTGTTTCATCCCATCTACGGGCAGTTAAATATTGGATAAAGCTACTTCGTATGAATTCAAATAGATTTCCTCTTCATTGTTATACTATGTTAAAAGCCTTGGATAAAAAGGGTAAATATTGTTTATGGGTGTCTGATATCAGAAATATTCTTTGTATTCTGGTTTTTCTCTTGCATGGATATCTCAAGATGTTGGCAATTATAAACTATTTATCTTCATGCTTAAGGAAAGATTAGTTGATATATTTTCACAAGATTGGCACTGTCAAATATCATCCTCAAGGTTTTTATGCCATTATACGAAAATAAAATCTGTACTTGTTCCTGAAAAATATGTATCTGTACTTCAGGATAGAACTTTGAGAAGATCTTTGTGTAAATTACGTATAACATTACATACTTTTAATGTTAACAATCTCAGAAAGAAAAATGTACAAGATAAAGAAAGTAGTTTATGCCGTTATTGTAATGAAGGCTATGTTGAGGATGAGTTTCATGTACTTCTCATTTGTAAATATTATCAGTTTCTTAGAAATAGATACCTCCCTATGATTTCAACTATGTACAAAGATGAACAACTGATGAGAAATTTGTTGAACTCCTGCAATGCAAATACAATATCATCTCTGTCAATATTCCTGAAGATTTTTGAAATTAGACGTTAATATTTTATGTAAACTTATTATTACCTACACGTGACTGTACAATGTTGATACAAAAACAACAACACTACTGTACTATAGGTCATATGGCCTAAAATATTGAATAAACTTCTGTCTGTCTGAAAGGTGTGTTAAATAGACACGAAGGTAAGTTCATAGATTGCTGTTGACTGTCACTGTCAGCCTAGACACGGATCGAGTCGATACTACGATAGCTTGGATGTGTATTTCTCCGTTTTGTTCACTGGGATGGGTGGTAGCGAGGGCTATTCGTGAACGATTATACAGTCAAACTCTCTCGCGTTTCTCAATGTATACTAAAACGCTGAGTTCAAGATTAAAGGGTCTTAAATGAATAGAAAGAATGCTTATATATCTATTCCTGCTAGGGATTTCCCAGGGGTTTCCCCGGGAATGTGGAAGTAGTCCGTCAGTGTTTACGTCATTTCAAGAACACGGTCTGAAAAACGTATGAACGTCAAATTTTGTTCTGTCACTACCTTTGTCTGTCTATTTGTTGAGCGTTACAATATCCAAGGCCAAAGTAAAATGAATGGTAAACACGTGGGGGACAATATCAAATTTGACACAACATGTCCAATGCAGATACCTAGTTTGACTTGTACCATATACTCCCGCAATTTCAGGCGAACAGTTGACTTGCCTTTGTCTGTGTTTGTGATGACAGCAACCGGTGAGGCACGATGCAAACCTTTTCGCAAACATCTGAAATCATCACTGTTTTGATAGTTATTCATAATCACATGCTTGTGTCGGTTTAAAGTACAAAACAATATTTAATTTATCAACACAAAACATGGAATTATTTATTTTAAGGTGACATTCGGCTTTAGCAGGAACGAATCGCAGCCCCATGAGACTGTTGATGTCAAAGTCTCAGCTGATCCACAGTCATTGGTCAGTTTACTCGTTGTTGACCAATCAGTGACCCTCCTGGCCAGTGGAAATGACATCACAAGTGATATGGTTTGTTCCAGTTGGTTTTGTTGCTAATCAATAACTTCCAACATCTTCAAGGATAAAATGAATTATGTTGTCATTTATTTTTCCCATGATATATGTTGCTGATAAACACTAGGATCTTACAAGATGAAACTTTGGATTTAGGTGGAGACTGAGTTAAAATACTATGACAACCGTGGCACGACCAATACTTATGCGGGAGAGACAGACGCCAGTCAGGTCTTCAAGGTAGGATCCCCAGGGAGATAAGACTATGGACCTATCTTTTGATTATCTGGTGTATGTGTGTGGCGGGGTGGGGTGCGTCGGTGCGTGTGCGGAGGGGGGTGGTTGGGTGGGGTGGGGGGGTGTTTATGTGTTGGTGGTGGTTGTGTATGAGGGTATGTGTATGGGGTGTATGAAGGGAGTGGGGTGGTTTATTAAAATATTTTTTCTAGAAAATTCTGGACAAACAACAGACAACCTCAGTTGTTCTTTAAACAGTCACTAATGAAAAGGCAGAAAAAGAGAAATAACACTATACTGATTTGCAAGTTAAATCAATTAAGCTTTATTGTGTTGACCTTTATATTCTTTATTTCTGAATTCCAGGATGTCAGTGTTTATATCTTCACTGATGCAAATGTTCCAAAAAATCCTGGCGGAATTGCTTATGGCCATATAGCAGGTATGCATCATAGGTCATTTATTTTACAGACATCATGTATGAATTTACTTTGTTGTACTTGGAACTAATTCAGGATGACACTTGATAATAGTGTATACCTTAAATGAATACTTAAAAGACTTCCAATCCTATGCATGTGTTCATGGGTAACAGGTAAATCACACATAGCATGGCAAATACATACAGCATATAACATCGTTTTATTAAAATAATGCTCTTGATTACTAGGTCTCACGTATCCGCCCTCTCTTGGACCGACAGCCCCCACGTACACTTACGCAGCAGCAACATCTTATCTTGGCCCAACAGCTTGGCCAATAGCCTACACTCCTTATCCAGGAGCAACACCTTACCCTGGCCCAACAGCTTTACCGTTTGGTGGCTACACTGGTTATCCAACAGCTTCACCCCCCCAAGGACTATCAAATTATCCAACACCAACAGGTCAGCCCTTAAAGCAGGTAGAGCGAGTGAGGAAATTCTTCCCAGAGACATGGCTCTGGACAAACACTACTATTGGGTGAGAAATAGTTCAAATATTCGTTCAAACACGTGAACACTGTCATACTATTATTTTACTGTAATGGTTCCCTTGTGTTTGAGTGAGTGCAACAGTGAGCTGGGTTTATCACTTTGAATAACCACAAATATGGGTGTGATGATGACAATCAAATACTAATAATTAGGGTGAAACTGAACTTGAGCCAACGATTGTAAGGTTCTGGCTAATGTCAATCTCACTGAAAACATGTAGGTAGGAATTCATCACTCTGAATGAATCTAGTAAGCAACAGTGTTGTGGTTTCATTCACCTGTTCAAATGCTGCATATTAGCTCTTGGCATTCACAACTCATTGCCTATTCCTTTTGACACCACAATACCATTTTCAGTTCGAATGGCATTGCAACCATATCTGCAACTGTTCCTGACACTATAACGTCATGGTTGGCAACAGCATTCGCAGTTAATCCTGTGTCCGGTTTAGGAGTTACAGCATCATCATCGAAGGTAGGTAATGTCAACTTTCATTATTCGTACCAACTGTAAAATATCAGTTTCCTGAACCTGCGTTAGCCATGTATTACCATTCAAGCAAAGAATACACCAGTGGACTTTCTTTACATATGTATTATTTCAAACTGAAGTATGCTGTTCAGTTAACTCATTTCATTTCAGATGAAGGTTTTCCGTCCATTTTTTGTGAGTGTTGATGTCCCAATGTCTGTCATCCGCGGTGAGCAAGTTGTGGTTCAGGCCAGCGTCTTCAACTATCTGCAGACCGATCTCGATGTGAGCGACAGATCTGTAGAATAGTAAACAAATAACTTCAACAGTGTATGTATGTGCGTTTGGAATCGGTATAGCCCGAATCGTACAATCGAGATTTCTTATGAATATGGAAAGGGTTGTATCGCTTTTATTTCGTGTTCTGTATCCTTCAAACTTTACACACTTATGGCATTAATCTATGGTGAACTATCCCCAATTAATGAATGATATTGACCAGTTGAAACATAGCGAGAGATGTTATGACTATGTTTAACAATTATACAATATCAATAACTGCTATCAGGTGATGGTGACAATGAAGAAATCCAATGACTATGACAACATCCACTTTGACTCCACAAGTGCTAGTCTCAAGGCTTTCTCTGCAGATCAAGTTAAGACAGTTCGAGTGAGTATGAACAAACAATAATTATATATTACGTTTGAAATTTTCATACAATATTCACATATTAAATGCAAGTTTGACGGAATCGCTTAATACTTATCCTAATTATGAATTATAATGGCTTTCTTCCTGGCGTTGTTATAGTATCAGAGAATTTCTCCAGGTGGCTTCTGGTGTATCGGTGACAGTAGACTTTCCCATTGTCCCAACCACCCTGGGACGACTTGACATTCAAGTATCTGCCCGATCAACTGCAGCAGCCGATGCAGTACAGAGACAAATCAAAGTTGAGGTAAGTAAGGGCAATATGGATTGGTTGCTTTCTCCCATATGTCTCCTCCATCCCCACCCAGACGCCTTTCTTCATTCCTCGTTCTCTCAATAAACCACGTTCGTTTCTGTTTGTCGGCACCGTTGTCGTTGGTTTCACCTAAGTGATAAATGTTACGTCTATCCCGGATCGTCATGGGTCGACTGCAATTAGTAAAGCGCCCGCAATGCCATTTCATTTTTGCCTGTTTTAGCCCGAGGGTATCAGAAAGGAGACTAACTTCCCCGTCACCATTGATCTTCTGTCTGGAAACACCTACAACAAAACTTTATCCATCCCTCTGCCAAACTACATTGTTAAAGACTCACAGAAAGCCAGGGTCAGGGCTTTTGGTAAGTAGATATTTTTTCTTGGAGAAAATTACGATTTTGTGAATAAATATTGTTCGTTGCAAACATCATAAAATGCATTGTCATCCGTTTGTTGAAGAGGCAGTTAATCAAATTTTGATTCCGTAAACCACCCATCGTGGAGAGACACATTTGATCTCATTTCATTTTTTTTAATCCGGTCACAATACCGATCATAGTTAACAAAAACAATCTTTCTGTGAAGATCCGGTGTAGAATAGGTCTTCAGCAACACATGCTTACCGTGAAAGGCGACTATGCTTGTCGTAGGAGGCGCCAACGGGATCGGGTGGCCATGCTCGCTGACTTGGTTGAATCATGTAATCGTATCCCAATTGCGTGCATTGAGGCTCATGATGTCAATCATGGGATTGTCTAGTCCATACTCGATTATTTACAGACCGCCGTCACATAGTTGGAATATAGCTGAGTGCGGCCTTAAACAACAAACAAACAAACTACAAAAACAATCATCTACACCTAATAAGAGTTCCGAGAGGAATTAGTGAGTACAAATACAAAATACAACGATCTGCACTCTATTTATCTTTAAAATATACACAATAAATCGTACTTATATCTTAAGGGAGCTAGATGAGGGCATGTCTTTAACGTGTTATGCCCAGGCCATAATATTAGTGTCCATTTGGTATTGGTATCATGCACATATGTATGGAATTAATTCAGCGTCTGAGGCGGGGACTGCGATTCACACATTTCCCGATAGCATTCTTGAACTCAGCCCATTACCAATCACTTGGTCAGAAGAGCCAGGATCACATACATACCTTGTGACATTGATATTATGGAAATTTAAATGTCCGTTTATCATAAGTGAAACAAGTTATCAAATTCAGCTACTTATCGCTTCTAATTGTCCTGATTTAAAATATCACAACAGGATAACTTTATGAACTTTATTTTGTAGATAGTTTGTAGATATGTTCTCCTAAAGACCAACATCCAGAATACCGTATGTTACAGGGGACGTGGTGAGCCCCAGTCTCGACGGCCTGGACAGTCTTCTGAAGATGCCCACTGGCTGTGGAGAACAGAACATGATGGGCCTTGCCCCAGATGTCTACATCTCAAACTACCTTGTCAGTGCTAAGAAATTTGACGGGAAAATTGAACAGAAAGTTATTCCATTCATGGAGGAAGGTAAATCACGATAATATTTTCAATTTGTTTAATTCGGTGCTCAAAACGTTAAACATCATTCTGTTATGAAACGGTTTACGTTCAGATAGTTACCTGAAGATAATCATACTACCGACAATAATAAGGGAAGTAATTATTTGAATTAAGCAGTCGTTGAGGTGTACATTTACATTACAATGGTGTCACATCTGAAAGCAACATCTAATCACAATGAAATTGCACATGATGCATGAACAGCACGTGATGCTGGTGACCACAGACGTCAAAGTGCGTGCGCCTATAGTGGAACTCACAATCACTTATGCAAAGTGAGCTAAGCACATGCTTAAAATGTTTCCGGGACAGTATCTCAATGAAAGGACAAAATGTCGAATTGTGGATACGACAGATAAATTGCACTAAGCTATAGATTCAAATCTGCTCCTGTTATCAACAGAGAATTCCGTACAATAACAGGGAGGCGAATTTCAACATATACCGTTTAAAACCGGCTATATGCAGCCCCTCTGAATGCAAGACGTCCTATGAAGAGTGTGACTCTAACAGGCCGGAAAGATTGGGGCTAGTCAGGCAATAGGCCATGTTTACTGACGAATCAAGCTTTTGACTCCAATTCAGAGATGGCAGAAAACGTTGTTGGCGACGTAGCGACGAGCAACAATCCTTGACCATGATCGGTGTGGTGGCATTAGTTTCATGGTGTGAGGCCGTATCAACACAGGACAGGCGAAATCATTTGGTTTTAGTGAATGGACATTTGACTGGCCAGCGATATGTTGACGAAAGTTTGCGTCCTCTCGTTGTTCGATTTGCTAGAATTGTTGACAAAAAGTTTTAACTGCAAGATGCCAATACCAGACCACCGATTATCTCCGATGACAAGGCATACGGACCTTGGCCTACCCTGCTAAGTCCCCTGACATGTCCCAAATAGAGCCTCTGTGGAAGTTCCACTGTTTTGGGTGCTATTCAGCTCTTCAGGCAGAATGGCAAGAAATACCCAGGGCAACTATAAGCAAGTTACTCAACAGTATGCCATCAAGTTGTCGTCCACGTTTCGCATAACACGGTGGACACATCAGATATTGATCAACACGCCCGAATGTTTTATGTTACTGACATTTATCGTCATTTCACTTTCACATTTCACTATCATCATTTCCTCAGTTCCATTATTTTTGTCGGTAACATACTAGTATATTTGAAGCATGAAGTATTACATATCAATGTTATTCAGTTACATCATTCCATTCATATAGGAAATAAATCCTGAAATATTTATAAGTTCTATATAATGTGTAAGTAGGGGGTGACCTATTTTGACAGCTTGAATCATCGGTGTCTATTCACTACAATTTAACTTGCTCAGGGTTCCAGCGTGAGTTAAGCTATCAACACAGTGACGGCTCCTACTCCATCTGGGGGAACAGCGACTCCTACGGGAGCACCTGGCAAGTACAAACTTCCACTTTTGGGATCAACACACACTTTGATTAGTTCACGAGTGTGTCTCGCTTCATCATTGTTATTTTAGGATAATTCACATGGGAGGATGTGTGAGTGAGGATAGGGTACATATAATGGTTATTTCCGTTCATTATTCATTTCAGGCTGACAGCATTTGTCGTGAAAACGTTCATCCAGGCTCGTCAGTACATCTACATCGATAACCGAATCATTGCCCGTGCTGCCACATGGCTGATAAGCAAGCAAAACACCAATGGGGACTTCAGTGAGAATGGTTATGTGCACAGCTCCAGCATACAGGTACCTAATTATGTTGTACTTTAAAGATACTATTCGTGCAAGTGGTATATTTTTATTTAAGATGAATGAAAGCTGATGCTTATCATGTTCCTGTTCCGTTGTGTTTTCAAGGGAGGATCTGGACATGGATATGCTCTGACAGCATTTGTTCTGGATGCTCTGCTTGAAGTCCGAGGGCTGGAAGGGGTAAGTGTAATCATACTTCCATCTCAATGGTCACAGGCTGCTTTCATAGACGAAAATATGTGGTCAAATTCAATCTTCTTGCAGACTTGGCCTACACGTAATTAAAGCATACGGGGATAATCATACATTGCAAAGATGATCACTTTTTTGTTGTTGTATAATACGTTTTGCATACAGGTGAACGCTTACAACCTGAACGACTCTTTGCTCCGCGCCAGTGCCTTCCTTGAGTTCAACATTATGAGATTCGATGATGCCTACACTGTTGCAATCGCTACCCACGCCCTAACCAAAGCAGGCAGCATCTTTGCTGAAGATGCTTTCAAGAAACTTGAACATGTTTCTAAAACAAAAGGTATTTGGGAACAGAAGTAACATGATCATATAATGTATGTAAATATTGTTTTTAAACAACCAGAACTCCTTACATATCTATGTATAACAATACAAAAGGAATAATATATATATATATATATATTGTTTTGCTTCACAAAAAAACCCTGTTTCTGTTTCTTAAGTGTGAAACCATAAATGACTGAAAATACAATCCATTGTCGTATGCTATAATGATAAAAAGTGTGCTCACAATCAATTCGGGTCCATTGCCAGATGACATGATGTTCTGGGAAAGATACAGTCACACTCCCTCCAGCTACTGGAGGCCATTTCACCAATATGCTGACGCCATCGACATTGAGACTACAGGCTACGCTCTGAAGACATATGCGCTCCGGAAAGACTTTGTCAAAGGCCTGTCTATCATGAAATGGCTCATTTCCACCAGGAATCCCAATGGTGGCTTCGTATCCACTCAGGTATATATGATTAGATAAAACTGAATAGCGGAACATGATAAAAATTGATGTTATATTGAGCATCTGATATGAACACAAGATGAGATTGACTAGCTCGGATTTCTTATTTCTCATTTCTAAGGATACTGTTGTTGCTCTCGACTCTCTGTCTGCGTTTGCCACCGTCATCAACTCGGATTCCTTCAAAATCAGCGCCGACATCAGTTCTGGAAAATTCAGCAAACATTTTGACATCAATGCCAAGAACGCCCTTGACCTCCAAGCTACTGATGTAAGTTCTTTCAGTAGTATACCATCAATACCTTGCAATATATTGTAAACATTTTTGGTAACATTGGTAGGTCACACAATCTCTTTGAGATAAAGTAAATTTGTTCACAGGGTACTAAACATTTATTTCAGGCCAATGAGTTCACCGGTACCTTCAACGTGAAAGCCCAAGGCCATGGAGTCGGATACCTTGAGGTTAGTCCTAGTGGGTACAGTAACAACACTGTAAACCAATATAACAATGCTTGCAGCTGCACAGTAACTTTTCTTACATTAAATCTGTTATATACATTAACGGGAAAAAGTAATTTTCGCTTCATATAAAGTTCAATAAATATATATTTATTATGAAATTTTATAGTGCAACGTAGGTTTTGAATGTTTACAGTAGATACTGATTGTTAAGGTGCTCAGAAAAAAAGTTCAGTTTAACCGTAAATTCGCAATGCCACGGCTTGCTGAAATCAACGTAATAATCAGTGTAATGGTATGGGATGGCATCACATCTCATTGGAGAACACAACTCTTCATTGTTAACGGTACTATTTTCAAAGCTATAATATTTACACCACTTTATATGAGGCACAGTAACTCTTCCCATTGACTTAGACTCAAGCCATCATACTTGAGAACAAATATGTTGTGCTGATTTGGCATGATGTATTGCAGCTGTTTTAACTACAGTGCACTTGTTATGACAATGTGTAGAACTGTGAAGCTGTTTGTCACACAGATTGCTTCGTTCTTCAACGTTGAGAAACCAGTAGAGGAGCAGTACTTTGATATCAGTCAGGACATCGAGATCGAGACACTGAACATGTACACACTCAGGACCTGTGTCAGGTAAGAGTACTTGTGCCTGTAGGTTGTCCTATGACTAGGGTTGGGGGAGTCTGTTGCTGTCAATGTATTGGCTAGTTGTCAGAAACAGAAATGGTAAACAAAACTCTTCTCTATTCTCTCACGTCAAATGTTATTATTGATTACCTGGCCATATCAAAGGTTTTGTCGCTTATGTCTTATAAATCCTGATTATCATATACATATTGATTTACTAGGTTGAACTCCGACGTATTATATGTGTGACGTCCATTAATATACTCTTCCATAATATCCAACAGCTACAGCAAGGAGAGAACCAGTAACATGGCTGTGGTCGAGATCACAATCCCATCAGGCTTTGAACCGGATATGGAGTCAATCTATATCAGCCGCAAACTACAGAGATCCGAACTGCTGGGCAAAACTCTTGTCTTCTATTTCAACCAGGTGAGCAACCAAAGCACCTCGCCATTATGTGGACATGTGGACTGTGGTAGGTGTCATGCACTCACACAAGCTTCAGATGTTATACGGCATTAAATTGGCAATTCAACCAGAGAGAGACATGCTTTACGCAAACACCATACATTGAAACTAAAATTGTATTCATGATAATATTGTTACCATGTCATCAAAGATTGAAAATAATATATGTTTTAAAATTACCATATATAATTGTAAAATCACAACATATATCACTAGTATGAATAGGCATTCATGTATGTCTCTGGGCGGACATGGAGTACTACCGATGAATATACATTCAAAAGAATTATGTTATATTTTGAAAGATGGATGCCAGTGAAACATGCATCAGATTCACTGGAAGAAGGAATGGCCCGGTTGCTAAGATACAGGCGTCCCCTATCCATGCCTTTGACTACTACGAGCCAAGTAAGTTAAACATATTTCTGCCAAATAAAATCCTAAACATCTTATTAGTAATGATACCAGGAAATAGGAATGTAGTAATGATGTATGAAGTCATAAGACGATTTGTCTTTCTTGAAAACCAAAAGTATTGAAAGTGGTGATTCTGTGACTGGCGTTTCTGTCTTCTAGCACACCAGGGTGTTGCGTTCTACCGCTCCAAGACCCTGCATGACGCAACTGTTTGTGACATTTGCGCCAAATGCTGCACACAGGTAGTAGAGTTATGTAGTATAGTTTGTAGCTGTTAATGATTTGGTTATATGGCCAGGATAAATTTAATCGGTTTTTTTTAAATTTATTTTTGAAAATAGAAATATAAGTGAACACATATGTTTCTAAAAGCCCTGTTTATACGCGTTTCTAGATAACAAAATAAATCAAGTAACAAGTTCAATAACCCTATTCTGAAACCATATGTTACTATGTTCACAATAAACCATCAATCCTTGATCAATTGTCATCATAATGATTTGTCATTCATGTCGATATTTTAAGTCACTTATACAATATCGTCTCAATGTTGCAAAATTATCTCCATTGTCTTCCAGTCACACTAAACAACGTCACAACATCTGGAAACACCGACGGTGAAACAATTCTTTCAAACAAAGCAATTGTTGACAACAAATAAATATTCAAATGCCTCTTATCTTTCTGCTTATCTATTGGTTACACTGTTGTTTCAAGAGAAAGATCGTGAAAATATCTACTTATTAATAAAAACCGTTATTTGACAAAATATAAATATTTCCCATTTGAGTGTGCACGCGTGTGTGGGTGGGAGCGTGCTCTCCTCGTGTGTTTGTGCCATTGTCGCGGCGGGATACGTTCACGTTTTCGAGAACGCCTGGTATCATCACTATTTTATAGTGATTCATAAAGACTTGTTCATAATATAGTTGGCAGCGTACAGTCGACTCTGCTTTTGGTAGAGATTTATTGTTGGTGTGGAAAAGCTTTTGCTCATGTGGTTTTCAAGAGGTTCATTCAAGAGGTCTTATACACTGCTTTAAACGTGATACGGAAAAAGAAAATGCAAATGCCGGTCACAATCTCACTGTAGTCGTAAAGCCTAGTACCGTGTGTGTTTACCACTGGCCTGAATGACTGCACGACGCATCATGCCCGTGGAACCAAGATACCTGCTTATGACATTATGGAATGGCTGCACATTCATCCTGAAGAGCTTGGCGTAATTGATGCAGATTCTGTAGCCCTGGTTGACGTGAAAGAATACGTCTGTCTAGCTCATCCAACAAATCAATTATTTTGAGATATGGCGACCTTGACGGCCACGTCAGTTCGTTTGTGTTTTGTGAGTCCAAAAATCGGGAAATTGTGCTCTGCGCAAAGTTGAAATGTCTTGGCACTGATTTTTGTCATTCACCAACTTCAAGTCAGCTGGGCGGTCGGGTAGCCTAGTGGTTCAAGCGTTCGCTCGTCACGCTGAAGACCCGGGTTCGATTCCCGACATGGGTACAATGTGTGAAGCCCATTTCTGGTGTCCCCCGCCGTGATATTGCTGGAATATTGCTAAAAGCGGCGTAAAACCATATTCACTCACTCAAGTCAGCTCCTGCCATTTTTTTTTCGCATTATTATTGAATCTAGGCATGGCGATTTTCGAACTTCACTTAGTTAACTGAATGATTTTAAAAAACGACACACACTTGACCAAGAAAACCCCATGACTTGCTTCTATTTATTACATATTCATCCTTACAGAGGATCACCACATCAGGGAAATGAATGTTGTTGGCCCTCACACCACGTGTTTCTGGCTTGTCGTGTACACAGGTACACGATTTAACAACCAGCAATACCATACACATGTAGCCCATATATTCTGAAGAGAAATACATACACATCAACGCCACATCTCTATTTAAAGAATGGTATTATATTCCACGAAACGAGGGATATTAAAACTTTTCATCCACTATGCAGTCGATTGCAGAAGTCCCGGGAGCAAAGTTCAGCTTTCTCGAAACGTGGGCACTCTGGAACAAATGAAAACAGCAAATAAACAATTGGCCTCTGCTCTGAAGCAATCAGTACAAACATTTTGAAGGAAACAGAAATGTCCTGATCAAGAGTGTTACCCTGTTGGATGGATATGTCACTGAAATGTTTTATCTGGGCTGGTTATTCTCTTGCGTTGACAATTTATATTTACTACGTCAAATTGGGACCTACAGAAAACATATGGCTTACAGTTTGAAACTTATCATTAATACATTGTTTGTATATGATAATCAAACTTCAGTGGAAGAATATCTATCTGGGTTACCAGGGTCTGTTTCGTTCCTCAACTCTAAAGTTGTTACGTCTGGCCCACAGCGACGTCAGACTGGCAAGCACACATGCAGACAACAGTTCCAGCAGTTCTATGATGGTGAGGATACTGGCCCCAAGAAACAGCCCCATCTGTCCACCAACACTGGCTGAACGGGTACACAATATCAAGTCAGATTGACATAAGTATGCGTATTGAGTATGTATTTTATGTGGAGAAATATCAAGGATATACGACTTTGAACATATCTTCATCCTTGAATTACTTAAGAGAGAATTATGTCAGGCACGTAGATGTGCACGCTTGGGTTTATTGTGACAGACAATATTTACGCCGTTTTGAACAACCGTTATATACAGCATGTCAGTATGATGTCAGAGCAAAGTTGAAAGTGATCACTTCGGTAAAAGTAGAGCATTGTTTTGGTTGTAACAAACCAAGGATCATAAAAGGGTCGGGTCATGGATTCAAACCCATGATCATTTTTATGTAATACATTCATGGGTATGGGACATAGTTTCTACACAGCGTGTTGCGGTGCTTTATCCAACGTGGCCAACCTTTCCCAAATTAAATATAGTTTGATACAGACCAAATACACCATTCAGCTCCAATTCTGGCTTGTGCTCAGTCCTGTCAACTACCATGCTGGCTAATTCGATCTGTAGACTCAGGTAATTGTGTCTGGAAGATAGAAATCGAACATAAATAAAGAATTGTTTCACAGTACCTGCTAACGTTTTGAATAAAATGTGAAAAGCTATGCCAAAAACGTAGGGGATACTGGTAAGTATTAAGACATATCTTGTGATCTACATGGTATTGGAAAATGGAAATCATATGATCATATTTGCTTGGGAGTAGGTGATCAGATCTAATGGGTTCTAATGGTCGGTGCGATGAGATACCGGCGCACTTGGTTGTTCAAGAGGTCGGGGGTCGAATTCAAAATTTGCATTGCTAGCAAACATCACTAATATCGGGTGGCAACACATGCATCTTCGGGACACGCTTCTGATAGTCGACCAATGACAGCAACACCGAGTTCATGGAGAGTGGTGGGTGGATTTTGACGTTGAATTACACGTCTGCCAATGACGTCCTAGACGTGTTCAATGGGAGAAAGGACAGGATAGAGTACTGGCCATGGCATGACATGGATGTTTTGCTGTTGGAAGAATAAGGTCACAATGACTTTGCTAAGTCTATGGTAAATCTTGCATACCACCCCTTGCACGTGCTGCCCGAGGTCACGTGCTTCATGACAGTCACAATGTTGTGTTTGACATATAGTAAATCATAGACGTTTAGGTCAGTATAAAGGCCACAGGCCCAAGTACAATATTGAAACATGTATTATATACAAAGTGGTGGTACAATATCAAGAGGTACAGAGTGCAATAAAAGTGTAAATTAGAATTAAAATAATGAAGAAGGCAAGGATAGGGCATCTTTAATGTATTTAGCACATAATAACAAGGTTTCAATGTTAGAAGTTTGCAGTAAAGTTCTGAGGGAGTACTTATTTTTAAGTTATTGTTGGGAAAATATGTGTGTCTTAAAATATCATAAGTTGGGCATACATGTACTAACAAAAATATAACTCATCTTCTATAATATTTTCACGAAAAGGACAGAATCTAAAGGATTCTAGGTACACCCACCCGTCTACCTATATTTTTCATTATGTGTTATTGTCCAATTCTTAATAATGTTAACAATCTCCTTTGGTCTCTTTGGTTTATATGAAGCAAATATGGTTCAATTGTGAAAGTTGACTTTATAGTGGAATAAAAATCTAAATTTGAATGCTCATTGTCGAAATCCTAAAAGAATTAAATCAATATTGCCGACACTCTCATTATTCCATACATAATTTAAACCATATGAATAAAGTAATTTCTTAACATTTTAGGCCCATGTAATTCTGCCTTGCTCGTCCAATCTTAGTATCCGGCATACATAAGAGTTTGCACCAATATTTAATGCATCTGCTTTACTTGCTTTATTAATAAGTGTTTGTACTGATTTTGACCATGACAGTCTGTTTGAAAATATGATACCGAGGTAACTTATAGTAGGTTGACGTTTTCAGTGCATTATCATTGTACATCCATTTTTCAGTATTCTTAACTATACCATCGTTGCGGAACACGAGGATTTCAGTTTTCAAGCCCCTCTTTGAACACAATTTCCATAATATATGTATTTTCTTTTGCAAATCAATAATACTGTCAGAAATCAGACACAAATCAGCTGCATATAGTAATAAAAGCAAATCTAAGAAAACTGCAACAACAAAAATACCTCTCCCGTCATGCTGCTGTAATTCATCTTCAAGTTGGTTTATAAACATACTTAATAGAAGTGGACTTAGAACATAACCTTGACGAATACCGCTTAAACAATCAAAATGTTCGGAAATGCTAACATTTGATGTTTTAACAGCTGCTGTTGTCTCAGAATACATATCACGAATTATATTCAGCATTTTGCCTTTAATATCTTGTTGAGCAAACGCATATACCATAAAAGATATCTATTGATAGAATCAAAAGCTTTGTGAAAGTCTACGAATAAACAATAAAATCTACCCCTGGATTTGGATAAATAATTCTGAATTAGTGATTGTAGTGTAAAAATAATATCAGTTGTAGAGTAGCCAGTACGAAATCCAGCTTGACACACAGGGTTTTTGTTACACAAATCTAAAGTTTTTATTTAAAACACACCGTGAATATTTTACCGCAAATGTTCATTAAGAAATTCCTCTGTATGTAGTTATTCACATCATTTGTATTGCCTTTCTTATGAAGTGAGAAAATTATACTTTTAGGCCAATGCAGTGGGAAATCACCAGATTCAAAAATCCTATTAAAAAGAACACCTAAGTATGGTAGTAACACATCACCTCCATGTTTCTACATTTCAGGAGGAATTCCATCTGGCCAAGCGGCTTTACCACACTTTAAATAAGACAGTGCTTTAAGTATTCCTTCTCTTGATATCTCTCTATTTAGAGTATTATTAGTGTCATCATCAATATGAACAGGGATATCTTTGGAAAGGTAATGTCGAGTAAAGGAGACAAAGTCATCATCTTGTATAGTATCCTAAATATTCAAAATATTTATAAAATAGTCAATCCACCGAGAACTGCTTATACACGAAGCTAGGGAATAAGACTTGCCTAGTAAGGATTTTACACCAGACACATATTGTTTTGAATTTCCCTCGTTAACTGTATTGAGTAGATTTATGGCTAAAGACTAATGGCAATATTCACATTTCTTGCGACAAAGTTCTCTGTATTTATTGCGAGCAAAGTGAAACTGACTCAAGTATCTG